ACTGTGAGCCAGATTCCTCACCTTGTCTATAATGTATAAATAGTTATAGAATCATAAGCTCTTGGTTTAAAAGGCTGCAACGGAAAATCTTATCCTGTAAATTCATGGTTTTTCATGCCTACTGTTCTTATTTATTTTCTTCCTCTTCTATTCAGATGAGAACGTTTAAATTCTAGATTGAATCCTTAACAGTGGTTTGATATGACTTTTAGTCTACGTTTAAAAAATGTTACGGGAAATAAAACTATTTTGGGCTAAGAAGTTTCGAGGAGGTATCTATTTAGTGCCTGGAATTTTATAAGAGATATTTTTGGTTTTGAAGTTTGTAAAATGGTTCCAAATGATCCCTACATGTTTTGACGGTTAGTTGACTAACTTTAAGATGATCTAGTGTTAAAAGTGCTAATAGGCAAAATTTATTAGTTTAACCATATTTTTGTGGTGATTGGACTTTCTTCTCCTTCTTCACTTTTCCTCTCTCCTTCCCCTCCTCATCCCTTCTCCAGTGAGCTTCACCGGTGGCCGTGAGCTTTGCTGCTGGCCACCTTCTCGCCACCGCTCATCTGTCATTCGCGTCTTCACCATGGCACTCGTCGTCTACACTAATTTTCAGGGAGGAGGAAGTAGTTTGGAAATCTCTTGTCTCGAAAGAGGAGACTGAAACTTTTTTTTCTATGGAAGTCTGTCTCTTTCCTCTCTTTTCGTTCTCCCCAACTTCCCTTGGAAGTTCCGCAGTCACTTGTTTTTTCATGGCAGTAGCAGCACCTCAAATCTCTTACCTTCATTATTCACAAACCCCAACAGGCATCTATATGGAAATTGAACACAGAATTTCAATTCTGTACAGCAATAGATCGAATCCATTGTTGAACCTTGAAGACAAATTCAGCACGAGATTTTGTATGCAAGTAACGGGATTTTAATTTGGGTTCTTCGACCGAGAGTCTCTTGAGAGGAATATTGAAGCAAGTGTTGTTGAGGATGCTACCAAAGTTTCATATTGATTAAATAAGAGCAATATCTAACAAATTTGTTTTTCTATAAATGCTTTAGATTTTGTCATCCAAAATTGGTTAGATTTTGAAAACAATGTTGATATGTTTCAAAATTTTAAATTTAAAACTTTAGATATAGAATTACATTGAAAAATATCAAAATTTTGATAAATATACTACTTAATAAACTCATTTCATTTTATTATAAATTATACAATACTATAAAATAATAATTATACAAAATTTATAAGTTAATAAATTAATTAATAATATTTTATATAATTGTGATTTTATAGATCACCAATAGAAAAAAAAAAGTATAATAAGGTGAACTATGGTTAATTTGCACTATAATGCACAATTATAGACTGTGGTCAATATTAATTGTGGCCTATACTTTTTTTTCCAGATATATTGTGACATTATTAAGTGTATATAGACCATATTGAGAATTATCACAACTATTACCATATTTTTTTTTTAATTTTAATCAAAGTATCGATGGAAAGAAATGACACCGTTGACTAATAAAACAACTTACTTGTTCAAAGAACAGTTACAACATTCTCAACCTTATTCAATGATGTCAGCAGTGACTCCTCAATTAATTGAGGAATATTGTCAATTATGACACCCCTATAGCCTCTGCAGATTTCAAAACATGATTCGAGTCGATCGTTGCCGCACTTCTGCCATTGCCCACTTGCCCCTGGACCATGGAAGTTCTTTGAACAATGATGCAAAGAAGGTGAAGAAGCATCCTAAGAAATCGCGTAGGCGAGTGCCCTCTCTAATTTTGTGCGTGATAAGTCTTCAAAATATCTTGATGACGAAGCTGTGGACCATACATGACAACGTTGCATTTGGTTTTGTTAGCCGCAGCAGCACTATCAACATCCAACGTGGAGATCCCCGACCACCGTCTGCCACCACAGAAACCAATAGGAACGAGAGATCCTCTTCGAAAAATCGTCTCCACAATAGCAAGAGAGGTCCCTGTTATATCTTGACTCGTGCTACTTAATTCTTGAGAAAAACCATGGAAGAACTGGAACAAAGTAGAGAGGAACACATTTTGGAAAAAAAAAATCAGTCAAAAGACTGAGAGAAAACGTACATCCTTCACGGAGAGGAGAGGAGCAGAACACTAGCCACTTGCCACTAGTCACCCCTCCTCGAGAAGAGAGAAACCGCAACTCTTACTTGAAGTAACCGGTGACAGTAAGTTTTTAAATGTCGATGTTGATGAAAATATCGATAAAATGTTCATGCCAATGGATATTTATGAAAATATTATAAAAAGTTTCGTAAAAAATATTTAAATTAAGCATTTCAACATTTCTAAATAAGTTAAAAATGATTAATATTAATATTATATCTATACTAGTGATATTTTGTTGATACTTTCATATTTTGTCGAATTTTTTTTCAATATTATGGAAATGTCCATTCTATCCCTTATGATATCAAATCTATAGAAATGGACATG